AGAAGCAGAAAGAGGATTGCTGGGAAAGGGCTTGGGGGCTTGGGGAGGAACCAACGCAGACCCTGAGTTAGAATGACGTCCATTCTCCCTTTCCGTGTTTCTTTGAGGTGGATTAGGCTTCTCAAAAGGGAATCTCACCACGAGATGGAGACCAAGGGCATGAAGATCAGGAATTGTATATATTCATGGTTCATAAACAATCAAACTATTGTAATACCACAAGTACATAAAACAATGAAAAACATATTTAAATACAATCAAGATTTCCCAGGCTTATAGTACATATCTTCCTGCCTTGGGGCATATTCTGGCATACGATCTGTGAACGCCTCTCTTATACCTGTATGCCTATTTACATCCTGCCAGGACATCCCGTGCGAGCCCGAAGAGAATGAGGAGCCGAAAGAGGATTGCTGGGAAGCGGCTGGGGGCAACGCAGACCCTGAGGTAGAATGACGTCCACTTCTCCTTTTCCAGTATTTCTTTGAGGTGGATTATAGGGGTTAGCGATAAGATGGCACACACAAAACGATGCGTTTATTGCATTATGATGGCACACTAGGAGGCCCCCCCCGTTTCTGTGTGCCAGCATAGTGACTAAAGACACCAAAACTATTTAAAACTAGGCCCGCTGTCCCCCGCATCTGTTGAAACCATGGTGTGCCATCTTAGTGTGACACACCCCCCAGCTGCACGTATGTTTCGAATTTCTTTTTTTTTGCACTGCATTGTTGCAATTTTCCTGGTATGACAACCGCTCAGGGCTTCAGATAGAGATGAGGTCAATGACAAACTTGTCTTTCAGGATTCACATATGGATGTATGATAATTGTACTATATGAATAGATCTATCTAAAAACAAATAGAACCTTCTGTTCCTTCCACGGCCATAAGCGGTTCCGCTCAAACAAAGGAGTGTACCCCAGACCGGGCGTGCGGTCGGAGGGAGCGCTCCCGGGCCAACGTGCAACTCAGGCATACCTCCATGGACCGTACGCCGAAAACAGAATGGGGCTGGCTGTTGGGAGGAACTGTTGGTTCATTATATGTAGATATAAAATGATTTAAAAATATCATAGTATATTAAAGTAGATTACAATATTATATATATATATATATCTCTCTCTCTCTTTATGTACACGTTTCATTAGATATCTTTCTCTCATGCTCTGGAGAAGGGTGTGTGTCATCTTAGTGTGCCCCACTTGCGATATGTATGCGCCTGTCTTGCGTGGAAAGCTCCATGTATGTGTTGACCTTCACTTTTAGCTTGCGCTGCTTCATTTTCCATGGTTTTTTCTTGGGTCCTGGAGTCCTCCAGTGTGTTTTCTACAATTTTTGCATGGTTCTGCCTTCATTTTTGCATAGTCTTCCCATTTTTGCATAGTCCTTCATTTTTGCATAGTCTATAAACAGAAAAGGAAAAAAAGGAAAGGAAAAGGGAAGGAAGGAAGAGGAAAGGAAAGGAAGAGGAAAAGGAAAGGAAAATGAAAGGAAAAGGAACCTTTGAACCGTACCTAAATAAAACTATCTATATATATTCATGTTTTTTTTTGGATGGGTGATGGGTAACCTATCCTTCAGCACAAGATTGTTTATAGCAATACAGCTGGTTTACATCAGGTTTGGGAAAATCGATGCAGTTAGAATATGGGAATTACTAAAACCTCACAAGGTTCCACAACCAAACTGTATACAGCATCTTGGTTTATAGGGGTTAGCGATAAGATGGCACACACAAAACAATGCGTTTATGCCATCCAAGATGGGTTCATACCCCTCAACGAAACGTGTGCATTATGATGGCACACTAGGAGCCCCCCCCCCCGTTTCTGTGTGCCAGCATAGTGACTAAAGACACCAAAACTATTTAAAACTAGGCCCGCTGTCCCCCGCATCTGTTGAAACCATGGTGTGCCATCTTAGTGTGACACACCCCCCAGCTGCACGTATGTTTCGAATTTCTTTTTTTTTGCACTGCATTGTTGCAATTTTCCTGGTATGACAACCGCTCAGGGCTTCAGATAGAGATGAGGTCAATGACAAACTTGTCTTTCAGGATTCACATATGGATGTATGATAATTGTACTATATGAATAGATCTATATAAAAACAAATAGAACCTTCTGTTCCTTCCACGGCCATAAGCGGTTCCGCTCAAACAAAGGAGTGTACCCCAGACCGGGCGTGCGGTCGGAGGGAGCGCTCCCGGGCCAACGTGCAACTCAGGCATACCTCCATGGACCGTACGCCGAAAACAGAATGGGGCTGGCTGTTGGGAGGAACTGTTGGTTCATTATATGTAGATATAAAATGATTTAAAAATATCATAGTATATTAAAGTAGATTACAATATTATATATATATCTCTCTCTCTCTCTTTATGTACACGTTTCATTAGATATCTTTCTCTCATGCTCTGGAGAGGGGTGTGTGTCATCTTAGTGTGCCCCACTTGCGATATGTATGCGCCTGTCTTGCGTGGGAAAGCTCCATGTATGTGTTGACCTTCACTTTTAGCTTGCGCTGCTTCATTTTCCATGGTTTTTTCTTGGGTCCTGGAGTCCTCCAGTGTGTTTTCTACAATTTTTGCATGGTTCTGCCTTCATTTTTGCATAGTCTTCCCATTTTTGCATAGTCCTTCATTTTTGCATAGTCTATAAACAGAAAAGGAAAAAAAGGAAAGGAAAAGGGAAGGAAGGAAGAGGAAAGGAAGGAAGAGGAAAAGGAAAGGAAAATGAAAGGAAAACGAAAGAAAGATGAAAGGAACAGGAATGGAAGAGGTAAGGAAGGAAAAGGAAAGGAAGAGGAAAAGGAACCTTTGAACCGTACCTAAATAAATCTATCTGTATATATATATATATATTTATCTTTAAACGTATAATATGTATATATATTTTTTTAATTGTTTTTTACCTTTTTTCATATTTAGGCGGCTAAGATGAAAGACAACTGTCTCAATGGTTTGTATATGTTTGTATAGCTGTGTGCCATCTTTGGCCCCGCGCGTGGAGCCCTGAATGCCTTTTTGACCCCTGCGATTTTTTTTTGAAAAAATGCCTGTTGCCATCGTAGTGCACCTGGTTTCGGTGTGCCATCTTATCGCTAACCCATATAGGCTTCTCAAAAGGGCATCTCACCACGAAATGGAGACCAAGGGCATGAAGATCAGGAAGTCTATTTATTCATGGTTCATAGACAATCGAAGTTTCTGTGTCTACAATTGCCATATACATTTTCATCAATATATTCATATACATACATCAATATGGAGACCCAGGTGATTCCCTACACACACAATTGACCCGTACTACATATATATACATATGTGTGTGTATGTGTGCATGTATGTGTATATTTATTTCTATACTACAATATCTTTTGTCATACCATGTGTACATAAAGAATGAAAAATATGTTTAAATACAATCAAGGTTTCCCAGGCTTACATATCTTCCCGCCTTTGGGCATTTTCTCCCATATATATAATTTGTGAACGCGTCTCCTATACCTGTATGCCTATTTACATCCTGCCAGGACATCCCGTGCGAGCCCGAAGAGAAGGAGGAGCAGAAAGAGGATTGCTGGGAACTGGCTGGGGGGCTGGGGGAGCAACAAACGCAGACCCTGAGTTAGAATGACGTCCACTTCTCCCTTTACAGTATTTCTTTGAGGTGGATTAGGCTTCTCAAAAGGGAATCTCACCACGAGATGGAGACCAAGGGCATGAAGATCAGGAAGTGTACATATCCATGGTTCATAAACAATCAAACTATTGTATTACCATACGTACATAAAACAATGCAAAACATATTTACCGTAAATACGATTTTCCCAGGCTTACATATCGTCCTGCCTTCAGGCATTTGCTCCCATACAATCTGTGAACGTCTCTCCTATACCTGTATGCCTATTTACATCCTGCCAGGACATCCCGTGCGAGCCCGAAGAGAAGGAGGAGCAGAAAGAGGATTGCTGGGAACTGGCCTGGGGGGCTGGGGGAGCAACAAACGCAGACCCTGAGTTAGAATGACGTCCGCTTCTCCCCTTCCGATGTTTTTTTGGTGGGTGTAGGTTCTCCTAAAGAAACCCCAGGAGTATGGTTCCTGGAAGAGTGGGGAGTTGCGGAACAAAGGCATCAAGACCAAGGATGCTAAGATGCTAGGCCTCATGATCCAGGAAGGTCATGCTCGGAAGTTCTTTCTGGCAGAGGGTGAGAGGAAAACATTCGAAGTGCGGTCCAAGCCCGTCAAGTGCCTGGAAGATGGGGACCGGGTGGCGCTTATCTCTGTTTCCCCTCAGCGGAAGCACACCATCGTAGCAATTCTTCGCTTCGAAGGGAACGTAAAAATTCCTCTGGCTTCTTTTGCGAAGTTTTTTCCACTGCACAGAGTCACGGACAAGGAACTGAAGGACATCTTTGGGGCTGAGATCACGCAGACTCATCTTTGGGGTTGGCATCTCGATGTGGTTGAAACTTTTGAACCTGGTTTTCCTTTGAAGGTGAAAATGGGTCCGGTGGTGTGGCGGTACTTCACCCTGGAAGACATTGAAGACAGTGATTCACAACAGGACTGATTGGTGGAAAAGTGGCCTTGTCCGTGAGTTGTGATATGTGTATACCTGGATACAGCACATGTATGCCATGTATAATAAATGTGTGTATCATGTAAATATATATATATGTACATATATATGATGAAATATGTATATATATATATATATTATTGTTTTCTTCCACATATGGAGGGTTTTCAAACTTGGGAGCCCCCCGATTGTTTTGAGAAATGTTCCCCTTTGTACCTTGTTTAGCAGGGATGTCATCATCATATTTTCAAATCTTGAGGGAACAAATGGCATAGTAGGAGCCTACAGTGAGATCCAGCTCAATGCTAAAGCGGGCTTTCTCGCTGTCTTCTACGGAGCCATCATCATCTTTTGCCACCAAAAAGCCTAAATCCCTACAGTTCTCTTCCGCAGAGTCACAAGAAGAGGAAGCCATGTCTATCCAGGAACATCATGAGGAGGAACCTCTTGCTGTGGTGGCCCCGGACGAGGACGAAACTGAAAGATCCCGAAGGTCAGCACTTTCAGTGAAGCATCTCAAATGCCTGCTTCTGTCAGAGAAGGAGTGGAAGGGATTGCTTCAGGGAGGGATCCTGCTGCGGCCATACAGCTGCAAGGAAGATCTTCTGGGAGCGGTGGTCAAAACAAAACGGGGCCAGTACGAAGTTGTTGGAAAACTTGAGGTGGAGCGCATACTCCTTGCCACATCCATGAATAATCGAGAGATAGCCTTTCAAAGCCAGGGTGTCTATACGAGACTGGAAATTGGAAACTGGAAAGATCGGACCAAGAAGTTGTTTCTGTGGCAGCTGAAGGGTGCGCACCCTTTCCCTTGCGATGAAAGGATTGAGTTACCATTCTTGGATTCCAAATGCAGGAACAGACCTTTCTCAGTCGATGTGGAAGCAGCTGCGAAGGAGCAACGTAGAGCTTCGGTGGGCCCTGTCAAACTATGTCTGGAAGATACGGCTGACTTTTTCCTTGGACGGTGGCCCACTGAACAGCAGGAGCTGTTTCTGGATCGCATGCGTTCCTTGCATGGAAAACAACTTCGCATCGGTACAACTTGTTCCGGTACGGATGTGGTGGTAACCGTTTTGAAACAGACTCTCCAGCACTTCCTCAAAAAGCAGGTTGGCGGCCCAAAAGCACGGTCGAATACATATTCACACGCGCGTATTATATATATGTATGTATGCAGACTAGAAAATATATACGCGTATTATATATATACACACATACATATGAGGGAATTTCTTTACATCCCCGTTGTGAAAATAAACCAGGCTACCAAAACCGAAAAAAATGTGGTCGGTTTTTTATGTGTCGGAGATTTGCTGTGAGCTTATTCTGGGTTGTTGGGGCGCAGGGACTTCAAATGGATATCGTCCATGTCTTTTCAGTGGAGAAGGACCCAGAGAAATTGAAGTTCATATGTGAAGAACATCCTGATGTTCTTCACGCCTTCTCTGATGTTCAGGGGTTTACTGATGAGCATTCATTCTGCCACATTTGTGGTCGGGACCACGCGATTTCCAAGACAAACTGCAGTATCGACCTCCTGATCAGTGGACCGTCCTGCAAGGACTTATCAAAATTGAATACTGCCCGGAAAGAATACTCAGGTTGCTACACCGCAGACTATGAGGGAGAGGAAGGCACATCAGGTCTGACCTACAAGCATGGCTTCAAGCAAGTGACTTTTCCAATTATATATGTATATAATTTTTACCAGTTCGGTTCTGTTTTTGTGGGGGCGTGGTTTTGTGTCCGGAACATTCTATCTGTGATTCTCGTTTTCCTGCTCCCCATTCTATCTGTGCTTCTGGTTTTTCCTGCTCCCCCTGTACCTAAGGTGATCAATCTCCTTTCCCCACGTTTCGCAGTATACGAAAACGTGAAAAGCGCTGCTGAGCGCTCTCGTGATTCCAGCGGGGTAGTGCATCCTCCTCCCGTGGAGGCCCGACCCCAAACGGAGAAGCATTTCGTCCACCCGTATTGCCCGTGTATATATATATATATATACATTTAGGGGATGGACAGGTGACGGGTGCACATACTGTGTGTATTGACACATACTTTTTTTTTTAGATATGTGCATATTATATATATATGTATGTATATATATATATATTTATTTAATTACCCGTGATTTTTTTAGATATACATATAGGTGTATATATACAAGAAATATAGAATATGATGACTCTTTATCCAGGTCTCCCTTCCATCCTGGGCTTGAGGCCATCACGGATGATTTGGCACGGATGGGGTACGGATTTGTTTCCCGACGGCATATGTTCCCCACCTGCCAGGTGAGGGTTGTTAGATTTTATGTTAGTTGCCTGGTCCTCCTCCTCCTCCTCGTCCTCCTCGTCCTCCTCCTCCTCGTCCTCCTCCTCCTCTCCTCCTCCTCTCGTTGTTCTCCTCCTCCTCCTCCTCCTCCTCGTCCTCCTCCTCCTCGTCCTCCTCCTCCTCTCCTCCTCCTCTCGTTGTTCTCCTCCTCGTCCTCCTCCTCGTCCTCCTGCTCAACTGCGACTCGCGATCCACAGTGTTCTCTGTCGGACCTCAACCACGACCATCCACGCCCAGTGTTCCCTGCCGGACCTCAACCACGACCGTGTTCCACCTCAACCACGACAATCCACGCCCAGTGTTCCCTGCCGGACCTCAACCACGACCATCCACGCCCAGTGTTCCCTGCCGGACCTCAACCACGACCATCCACGCCCAGTGTTCCCTGCCGGACCTCAACCACGACCATCCCCGCCCAGTGTTCCCTGCCGGACCTCAACCACGACCATCCACGCCCAGTGTTCCCTGCCGGACCTCAACCGCGAGTATCCACGCCAAGTGTTCCCTGCCGGACCTTATATAGGAAGATAAAATGTCAGATAGAGTGCCAGAAGATTTGCCAGGTAGAATGCCAGAAAATATGCCAGAAGATATGCCAGATAGATATGCCACAAGATATTCCAGAAGATATGCCAGATAGAATGCCAGATAGAATGCCAGAAGATATGTCAGAATATATGCCAGAAGATATGCCAAATAGAATGCCAGATAGAATGCCAGAAGATATGTCAGATAGAATGCCAGAAGATATGCCAGATAGAATGCCAGAAGATTTGCCAGATAGAATGCCAGAAGATATGCCAGATAGAATGCCAAATAGAATGTCAGAAGATATGTCAGATAGAATGCCAGAAGATGTGCCAGTAAGAACATGTATAAATGTCATGGTGGGGATCACACGAAGTAAAGTATTTTTTTTTGTCCGGCCCTTTTTTTCGTTTTCATGGGGGTCTCCAGGAAATCGCAAAACCTGAGCCCCTCATTCTAACTGTGCAAGGTTTTTGATGTTCTTGATGCTCAAGCCTACTGCCTACCTCAGCGGCGCAACAGAATCTGGGGACTGGCTTTTGTGTTGAATGGTGAGGAGATGGTTCCTGAAGTTCAAGAAGTTTACCAGAGAAATTTGAAGAGCCTACGTTCCCATATCCAATTCCCTATGGGCAGCATGTTCTTGGACCTTCCTCCTGAAGAACCTCGACCCGCACATGTAAAGGTCATTGACCGGGTCCGTGCAGTCCAACCTGATTGCGACAACCTTTTCATAGATTGTTCCAGCAGTTTGAAGTGGCTTCAGTATGGTGCCGGTGTGCTTCCCTGCTTGACACCGTCGCATGCCATCTTTAGTACTGGTTTGAGGCGCTACCTACGAAAGCAGGACATGTTGAACTCCCAGGGTCTTTTCAAGTCCTGTTTCAGCAGCTCCGGGTACCAGAAACTCTTGAACATGAACTCTCAAGACTTCGCGGGAAATTCCTTTGCTTCTACCGTAGCGCAGGCAGTACTGATGACATCATTGACTTGTGCTCCGGCTGGTTGGGATGATCTTTCCCCAGCTGAGGGTGATGGTGGTAAGGTGCATGCTCAGGAAGTGTCAAGATCATCTTCAACCACAGGCGGTGGTACCGGAGAGCCTATCATGCGCAGACTCCGGAGAAAGCGTAAAGCCCCTGAGTATGATCAGATGGTGGCTGCGACTGACACCAACTTGGTGGGTGACCAATCGGAGGGCAAGGAGCAGAAGAAAGGACGACGCAAAAAGGGCCCATACAAACGAAAGGTTCCTGGACAAGATTCCAGACGAAATGGGACAGGAAAGAAGCCTTCGGCCACAATTTGGCAGAAAGAGCAAGTGTGGGGGTCTTAGTTGTCTTGTTTTGATGCCAGGTTAAAGCAGTATATAAAGCCTCCTGATTCAACCCGACATGAATGGACATTGGGCCATTGGGCATAGAAAGCACTTGTAGGGCAACATGGGACAACCGATCCATCTACTTTTGCTTGGATGGAAGCCCTGCTGAGGATGAAGGCTTTCGATCAGGCAAAGAGGGATGGCCATAAAAATCCAGCCGCGCATGTGGCATCGCTTGGCTTGAAAGGTTTCTTTAAGTCTTGCATCTACCGGTGGAAAGCTCCCAGAGAGAAATTCAATTGGCCTTTGGTATGTGAGTCCTCACCTGCATTGGCCAAGAGCTACAAAGAGGTTCCCAATGTCATTCGTTCTGCTATGGGCAAGGATTTGAAGTTCAAGTTCCGTTTCGCCAACGACTACGAGGGGACCACCAGCATGATCCCTTCAGAATTGCAAGCGGTGGTGGCAGACTCAGTGGTTTCCTGGAAGATTTGAGCACAATATGACGATATCTATAATATATATATATATATAGAATATAAATATGCTTTATAGGTATAGGTACTTTATAGATATGTAGATAGACAGAAGCCACATTGATGAATAGATCGAGTGACAAAAATGGTATTTATATCTACACATGCTTTACCTTTTCATGTAGATGCATATGTTGCGGTTGGTTGTTTTTGGGTAGCAGAGTTAGAATGAGGTACCACCCAAACTTAGCTGACATAAGCATGCCAACGCCTCCTTCGATTCAAGGCTGAACGCATCCAATTCGGGGAAGAAGTCTCCCACTCCTACGTGGTGGATGTCCTGAGAGTGGCAGTGGAACAGTGGAACCACGCGGTGGGCGAGCTGAGAAAGCAGGTGGAACAGCCCGGCATGGTATTGAAGCTGATGGGAGACCGACTTGCTGGACAGAGGGAGGCACAGGGTGAGAAATTATTGAAGGAGGTTGAGACCACCATCAAGGAGAATTTGCGCATGGTACATTTGAAGGACACAGAAAGCAATTTGAAGTGACTAGCCTCTATTTATTTATGTATTGTACACGCATGTGTTTATGTGTATATGTATATGTATGTGCACATATATACATGCACGTAAACCATATATATATAATATATATATACTTCCTCGTATATAGGTTTGTTGGGGGTTAAGAACGGAAACAAGCCACCTATATAAGCGGGGTCATTCTAACTCAGGTATAAAATTCCACTCCCTTCCTTGGATTCCTTGAGGTATCATGCGCACAAGGTCGCGAGAAGGGCAGGAATTGTCCCGACTGCAAACCACAAGCCGGGTCGCCACCTCCCTTTCAACCATCCCGCCATGGTCAAGGTGCGGAGCTGGGTTGCCATGCAAGTTTCCCAGGGCCGAGTGCATGAGAAGCTGGTCGCAAATTTTGACCAGTGCTGGTCGGTATTGTACCGGCCCAGCAGTCGAACCCTTCAAGTGCGGGCCAAGGCCGACCCACTCTCTCGCAAGATGTCCTTGCGCAAGATTCGCCACCTATTGGAGCGCAACCTGGGACTCCAATTGACAGAATCTTTTGATGATGAAGGACATCTCCGCGAACCCAAAATTTCCGGAGGTGATGCAGCTTCTTGTGGCGTCGAGGCGTGGAGGACGCCAAGAACATTAACTACTTTAAGTTGGCTGGACGGAACGATGGGGCGAGGATATGTAACGGTGCGAGAAGATGCAATGAGTGAAGCCCAAAGACAGCAAGCAAATGAGGCGAGGAAGGGGAAAACAGCATTTTGGGTACCGGGATGCAGGCTTTCAAGTGGAAATATAAATGAACATGTACATATCAGTACATATGAACATATACATATCAATATATATATATACATGTTTCCTACCCCTGCCCCTGCATCAATTAGATTCGGCACCCTGAGTTAGAATGACTGCAGGAACTCCAAAAATGGCTCTTCGTGGGCGAACGGCAGAGCAGGACACACATCTGGACTGCCAACACCATGGCCAGCTATCTTCGTTTTTTAACAGAAGAAGTACGGGCCCGAAGAAGATCTTTGGGGCTGAGCCATTCTGATGCTTGCCTCATACTGGCGGATCATGCCACACAGCACTGTGCCAAGCGGTTTGACGGGCTTCGTCGAGCATGGGAGGTCCAAAACAACGCTGACCCTTGTTTGAGCTCAGGCCGATTTTGCATTTTACCACTTGTATGCACGTTTACGAGTATGCAGTAGGCAGCATAAGACCGAGTGAGAACTTGAGGGAATGTTTGCTGTGTGCCAGTTTGCCAATTTCAAGCTTGGTTTTACTTCGTGTTGATGGTGTACATGTACCAAATGCCTCTTCTTGAACCTGTCCCCGCCTTTACTGAGACTATCCTCAGTGGTGGGGGCGCTGATGGACAAGATGTTTTCATACCTGGTGGCTGGTCCGCTACGGGACAACCCAATGATGGATTCCATCAACACCTTCATTGCTTGACCCATGCCTATTGTGCTGCGTCCGTTGAGTGGGCCAACAGCCTTGACTTACGTCGAACCTTGGACCAGCTACAGATGAGCGTTCAGTCGTCAGCAACAACAAAGCTACTCGACTCCTAACATCAGTATCCAAACATGTATGTATGTCCAGTTTTTGCCTTTACCTCCTGAAAGTCCCCCTTCAGGGTTGGGGATGTTTGCAAAAGGTGAGCACACTTAGAATGACGTCTTTAAAACCTTCTCCCAGGTCATCGATTCTGGTCTCCCTTCGTGCCGACGCTTATGCACTGGAGAGCCTGAACAATTACGAGATGCTTGGACTGGGGTACCCTGAGGCAAATACAAATCAATGAGTATACGTACATGCCTAGTTGTATGAATAGAAAAACATATATATATATATATATGTGTGTGTGTACACATATACATATGAGTCACGGTCAAAATGGTTGAATGCCACTTTAGTATTGGAGGAGTTTTTTTGTCAGAGATGTGCACGAAACACTGTAAAGCGATAGGGCCCCCCCGAAAGCGATGACCTGGGACCGTACACCACAGTCCATGAAACTTGGCTTGAACCAACCAAATACTGTTATGCACATTCACAGAACGGGCAAATCCGATGAGAGAGGTGCCTTGCTCGCCCGCTCTTTTTCCTTCTTCTTTCGTTCCTTATTCCCCACCTGCCAGGTGAGGGTTGTTAGATTTTATCTAAGTTGCCTGCTCCTCCTCCTCCTCTCCTCCTCCTCTCGACGTCCTCCTCCTCTCGTTGTCCTCCTCCTCTCGTTGTCCTCCTCGTCTCGTTGTCCTCCTCGTCCTCCTGCTCAACTGCGACTCGCGATCCACAGTGTTCGCTGCCGGACCTCAACCACGACCATCCACGCCCAGTGTTCCCTGCCGGACCTCAACCACGACCATCCACGCCCAGTGTTCCCTGCCGGACCTCAACCACGACCATCCACGCCCAGTGTTCCCTGCCGGACCTCAACCGCGAGTATCCACGCCAAGTGTTCCCTGCCGGACCTCGTGTAGGAAGATAAAATGTCAGATAGAGTGCCAGAAGATTTGCCAGGTAGAATGCCAGAAAATATGCCAGAAGATATGCCAGATAGATATGCCAGAAGATATTTCAGAAGATATGCCAGATAGAATGCCAGATAGAATGCCAGAAGATATATGTCAGAATATATGCCAGAAGATATGCCAGATAGAATGCCAGATAGAATGCCAGAAGATATGTCAGATAGAATGCCAGAAGATATGCCAGATAGAATGCCAGAAGATTTGCCAGATAGAATGCCAGAAGATATGCCAGATAGAATGCCAAATAGAATGTCACAAGATATGTCAGATAGAATGCCAGAAGATGTGCCAGTAAGAACATGTATAAATGTCATGGTGGGGATCACACGAAGTAAAGTAATTTCTCTCTTTTCTTTTTCTCTCGCTCTTTCCCTCTGGGTTTCTCTCTCTCTCTCTCACTCTGTCGTTTTTATGGCAAATTTCCTTCGAATAATGTCATACGTTCGAGGGGTTATTTGGCGATAACCTTAGCGATAATCTAGCGATAATCATTTGTTGCATTCCGCCCCCTGGCCAGGCCATAGGGCCGTTTCCACGACCTTAGAAAGGAAATGAAAGGACATGAATACAAAATGCACGGAAATTGCATGCAAATATATGCAAATGAAAGGAAGATGAATGGACATGAATGCACATTGGAGAAATATGAAAGGAAAATGAAGGGAATTGAAGACAAAATAAAGATAATGAAAGGAAAATGACAGGAAACGCATGCAGAATGAAAGGAATATGAAATGTTGCCGAGCTTGTTTAGGAATGGATTTTGGCCTCATGTTGGATCGTGAGTATGCTGATTTCCACAAAACACTGGAAAGCGGTAGGGCCCCCCCAAAAGCGATAACCATGACAATAGCAACTAGTCACATGTAAGGGATTTTGACGGGAGCTCATATATATATATAGATTTGTTTATATATTTGTTTATTTCCAGTTCCCTCCAAACATGTTGAAAGAGACGCAAATCCTCTTGGGGGAGTTGGTAGTCAAGCCCACGAACCCTAGATCAATGCCAACCAACGCGGTGAACCAAGACTGCGTTTCAAGGAGTGGAAAGCTCGTGTGGTACTCGTGGCTGACACGTGGCCTGGTCGCGGAAGAGGCAATTGCCCGATGGAAGTTTAAAGGTGCCTTATGCTTGGGAACACGGGCGGACTCCCCCAGCAAAGCATTTTTTGGGCACCTGAGTTAGAATGAGGCCTCCGGATTTGGAAGTTTGAAGGCGCCTTATGAGGGGGAACACGGGCGGACTCCCCCAGAAGAACAGTTTTTGGGCACCTGAGTTAGAATGAGGCTTTCGGGTTTCGCGAGCTAAACAAATAAATAAATACATGAATAAATATATATATATGTATAAATACATATTTATATATATATATATATATGTATTTGTTTGCTTATTGTTTAAGTATAGACCTTTGCCCCACCCGACATAGAATGTTGTTTCCTGATGTGTCTATTTTTTTTTGCTTGCGCCCTAGGTTCTGTCCAAGCCCTGCGAAGTGCTTTGAGGCGGACCCGGTCCGAATTTCAGAAGCTGCTGGATTTGAAGAAAGTACCTGACATGAGCGTGAAACCTCAAGAAGCTTCCGAGCTAGAGATTTTGAGGGGAGTCCCCATGAAAAATGAAAGGCAAGTTCAATGGGCCATTGAAGACAGCGAGGGTATCAAGCAACCTTTGCCGTTGTGGCTAGCACTTCCTATTGAACGCAAAGTCACCGAGTGGGCCGGTGAGAACAGGAAGTGGGAGGACAAGATTGAGGCACGACTGTGTGCCGGGAAAAGCCTACCACCTGCGTCCCAAAAGAAGTACGATGATTTCATCAAGCTGAAGACAGAGTGCAAGCTTTTGTTCTCGAGAAAGAATGAGCGCCAGGTGACGCGTCTGAGAAGCAACATGGATTGGAAAAAGATGCAGGACGACCTTTTCAGTGTCGTGGTCCACATGTCCAGTGATCCGGAGCATCTCCGAATCAAGGGAGCCAATGGACGTTCTCAAAGATTGCTACTTTGGCAGGGAGAGCCTTCACACAAAGGGATGCTCCCGGACTTTCTCTCCCAGGGAAAAGTTTCCGAGCAACTTGCCCATGCTGTTTTGGCAGAGTTTGAAGAAGGTGATGAAGTTCAATTTTCTGAGGAAGAAGGTGTCCAAGAAGCGGAAGATCAGGATGGGGCTTTCCAGGAAGCGGAAGCCATGGAGGCTTGGGAGAATGAAGAGAACGAGGGCGAGATCATGGCCGGATCTAGTGACGAAGAGCTACTTCAAACCTGGGGCGCTGTGGAAGGGGAACTTCGTCGTGTGAAGGATTTCAACCATAGGCCCGAGTACCTGGCTCTTGAGGCTCGAGGTGTCACTCAAGTACCTCCTGGTACCTACCTGTCGTATCACAAAGGGACTAGAAATTGGCAGGCAATCTATCCGGGAGAAGAAGATCAACATGGCATGAACTTCACCCATGGGGGGCAAACCAACCGTTCTCCGGGTGAGGCCTTGCTTTGCGCCATTCAGGCATTGGTCGAGCGCTATTGCGCTAAACACCCTAAGGACAAGTTGTGGGGGGCTCAACTCGAGGTAATCCGCAAGGTGAGCCACACCGTTGCCAAGATCTGAGCAGTAGGATTGCATGCCTACAAGGGGATGTTCTACAAACGGCTTGGCGTTTCCAGGCCATGAGGCCAGAAACCAAAGGATCCTCTATATATGTATATATATATATATATGTAGTTTTAAATGTGAATGCATATATGTGCATGTATATAGCTATATATTTATTACGAAAGTGAGCTAGGAAGCTGGCTGGTTGCTTTTTTAGGAACACAAATCAAAGCTAGAATGACTGCTGGCAGCTGGTTTTGATTTGTTTTGGGGTCTATACCCAACCTATTTTTCCCTTCAGGATATATAGGTGGACACATTCTAACTCAGGACTGCATATTTAGCAATACCCCATGGAAACGGAGCCAACCCGTGAGTTCCGCGTCCTCGCGAATTCGAGGCAGGTGGTGACTGGTGTCGATTCATTAGGAACCCAGCGTTTCAGCCAGGAGGTTGTTTGAATTTCTTTAGTTGTACGCTGGGCGGATGCCCCACAACAAAAAAGTCATTCTAAATGTGGTGAGATTATATCGTGTTCTCCCTCCTGAAGTACGGAAACAAAAGAATTCAGATTAGAGGAAAATTTGAGAGAGGGGCCGCAGATTTGCACAAGGCCTTGAGTTCGGGTTGGGACAGTCATCTGCGGTGATTTGATGTTTTGTTTTTGGATGACCTGCCTTCAAAACTTCTGGTTTCATCACAAAGCATGATTTCTTATGTGTATATATATATACACATAATTAATGTAAATGTCCATGCATGTCGGCTAAGGGCAGTCATTCTAACTGTGAATCTATTTTTTCATTGGGACTTCCCGAACTCGGGGCCACCCCAGTACGTTCCATAGTTTGGCGGCCTGAGGCTAAATTCAAAGCATGTGCAAATTCTGTCCGCTTCAGGGGCTCTTGAAAGTTCCAAAACAGGGACCCCCATCCTATTGGTGTTGGAATCATTTTAGTTCTGGATATATATATATATATAAAATTATATAAATACATATTTTCGTTGTTTTGATGAATCCACGCGGACTTGGGGACTAGAGGATCGAAATTTCAAAACAAGGCGGGAAAACGGGAAAAATGACCACAACCGCCTGATGGGCGTGACGAGTGCAGGCTGGGATGGAAGGGATAGGTTTCAGAGAGAGAGAGAGAGAAAGAATATAAACCTTGACAACTCATGCATATATATATATATATAGTTTGTGGTTTTGATGACCCGTTGCATTGGAAATTATTTCCTTTTACTGGATTTTGGATGGTTTAAGATAGATTTATGATTTGATTTGACGGTTGGAAGGCCCCCCTCATTCTAACTGAGGGTGTTTTTCACCTCATTCTAAGTGTACGAATCCTTTTTTTTGGAAAACCGGGACTCATTCTAACTTTGACTCCGTCACTATAATGCTTGAAATAAAAAACATTAAAATCACCGGGTCCGCTATCAGCGCCGGTACCTGGTTTCAATCCTTTCCGAATCTAATTCCTATTGAATTCCCAAACTAAAGAACCTCATATTTATCATGACCCCCAGTCATGGCCATTGGCTGGTTACCAAAGCATTTTCCGTGGGGCCAAGGGTCCAAGGTTCGCCACCAAGCAGCAGCCAGATATGGACGTCTTTTGACGTATTCGTCATCCATAGGGAGTCACCCCTGGAAGACTTGGGAATGGGACTTGGACATTGACGAACCCATGTGAACAGCAGTAGAAGCAGACCATTTCCTGGAAACTCTTAACATATTCTATATATTTGTCATCGTGTTGAGTTGTTTCAGCTGATTCGGTTGAGAAAACGTTTCTCCTCACAATCATGCAGCATACTCAACAGCAAGGCCTAGCTAGATGTATTACTAAAGCCTCCCTGCTAGGTGCCACTCTTTGTCTCATATAGATACAAGATACTATACTATGATTACTAATACTATATATGATTACTAGATATTCTACTAGCAATACTAACAACGACTTCTAATATAATTAGTTCAGTACGAATGACAGCGTTTTTGTTTTATAGTATAGTTCACTAATAATTAATGCCAATGTAATAACACCAACTGTGGCAAACTATAGGTTAATATAGTACAATACAGTATCATATCTCATGATATTGTACCGTACAAATTGGAGTACTTAATGTTTTGGTATATTGAATCATAGTTTTGTTATGTTTTTTGCTCTCTGCCATAGCATTTGATACATGTTCAAAAACACTGCATATATATATATGTATATATATATACATACAGTATATGTTTGTGAACTTCAATTTGATATATTGCACTATGATGAATAGTGTCAACACGTAAATCGTGCAACTCAATGTCATTAATGGTACAGTACCGTTTTGCAGGGTTTTGTATTGTACTGTACTGTATTGTCATTTAGTACACTCTGTGTGTTTAAACAGTCAAATCAGTTTAGATAAACAATGAATCATGAACAAAGGCAAATGCTGACAAAGACATTATTCAATGAGGAAAGAGGATCAACATGTGCCTAGGGCAAGCATGTACAAGCTTATGTGTATACTTGGAGGGTTCCCCCTGATTAACTGGTAAGCGAGTGGACTTATGACCCAGTTGTAGATGGGTTAATTCACTTCGGGGACTTACAAGTAGAAAGACTGTTAACTTAGTTAACTACTTATTAATACTGATTTTCATTAGTTACTCGTAATATTGTTGGGAGTTGGGAGTGTTACTATTACTGATTAAAACTAAATGTTCCTCCCAACCATCTAGTTACGATTCAACGTTTAAAACGTGTTCAACGCTTTAAGCGTCCTCAGGTGAGATCCTTTCCCGGCCTTGGTTGGAACGCGCCCCGTCTCGTGGAGCGAAGCTGCGAAGCTTCTTTTCGGATCATAGAGTCGACCACAACAAAGAGGGCTTGACGGTTGAACCATGGTTTACCCGGCCTGGTAAACATACAAAAAGCTATTGAAAATGGCACATTTATAGTGGATTTTCCGATTTTCCCATTAAACATGTGAAATTTTCCATAGTTATGTTAGTTTACCAGAGGGTAACCAGCAAAAAATGGTGCTAAAACCAAGCATGATAGGGATTTAGGAGGGATATTATACCCTCCTTCCAAGTCATTTTTTTGGGCCAAATGAGGCTTGGAAGACTCGTCTCCCTTAAATGGTGACAAGCCCCAAAGGTTGTTTATCTAGGGCTAATTAATCATCTATCATTGGGGGGTCCCTGACATGGCGGGATTTTGTGCGATCATCAACCTATCTGGGCCCAAAGAAGAATCCCTTGTGGTGCCTTATACTTAGGGAGGTTGACAAGCTGGTCTGTAACTAGCAAGAAATTACCCTTTGGCTAATCAAGCGTGGCAGCCGTTAAAATTCTATGTTTAACGACTGACGGGAAAACCATTACTATAAATGAGGGATTGTCCAGTCATGTTTGATGACCAGAGGGTAGGCACTATGGCGGTTATAGCTATAGCTAGATGGGATTATCATCAAACACAACGTGGGGTTACCCCCCTTGAAGCCGAGTCCAGGGAATTGAAGCTTTAGCCTGGCATCAGCCAGGCTATGCTTTGCTAGGCATCATCATATTATTTGATTACATCAACGTATTTCAGTTTGTATATGTATATACGCATGCAGTATGCAAACATATATATATATACATACATATTAATGCACATGAAATATAGGTATAAATGCTAATTAATGTCGGTGTATATCATGTGATGATATTGTCAATCACCCATTTGGAGCTCTCCCCCCTTGAGGCGCCTCAGCTTTTTGGCGCAGCGCCGGCAGCTTCTCATGGCCGGTGCTCTTTGATGCGGAAGGCACGAGGGAAGAATCAGTTGGTTGGGTTTTGTTCACCAATGGGATATACCGCATATATATATATATGGCATATGGAGATTTTTTTACAATTAGATACAATAAGTAACTATTATATGTCATAATCAGGACTTGATAATTGGGATATTAATGGATCATTCACGTAATAGGTTTGAAATTACGATATATCCCATTAGATCATTCTAAGATATTAGGATATATCCCATGATATGTATGATATAGGATATTAATATTACCTATCAATAAGTATATAATTATTTATGACATACATATCCCTAATGGACTGTGTCATGATGTATGTAACTGTTTATAACTTCTGTTTGTTCCATGATACTGGTACCTTTGACCAGCATTTACCTCCAACATCACCAATATGTAGTTGATTCAATAATTTGACAAATTTGGGATCATTGGCTTTCCATGGTTCCGAAATAATTCACAATTTTTGGCTGGATTGTGAAGTATCCAAGTTTTTAACCACAACAACAAGTTTTACACGGGCATTTTTGCGCGCTCTCCTTTTCCCATGGATCAGGATTTGGTATGTCAGGGCTGTAACAGACTTGAGGGTGTTGCAGGGGGATTTTCTGTGAATTTCATCAACAAATTGGATGTGACACGGCGGTGTTCAGGGTCAAAACTGACTGTCTTCGGACGAGATAGCTCTAATCATATGTTCCAGCAAAATAACCAAAAATCAAGCAGACTGGGTTTACTAAAGCCAATGCCATTTTCACCATCCCCATAAAAACGCGGAAAAAATACACAAACGGAGGTCTTGGAAACCATAGGATGGTGGAATGACACGTTGGTAAACACATAGTTTTGGAATCATTTTTCTCATCAATACCATTCCCATAGGATCCATGTATGGTATATATGCGAACATTGGGGGTATAGTGATGGGATCCATGTTACCATATATAGCATACATTGATCTTATGGGATTAGAATCCATTAGAAACTCTATTGCGTTGAGTTTAGGACCGCGCTTCCAAGCCGAGGTCCTCCTGATTTCCGGGCTTCCACATGGAAGTTGGGCTATTCGATGCTTGGTTCACCATCCTTGGTCCGTTGGTCAAAGTCGGAGGTTTTGTCCAAGGCTGGAGAACTCCTGGAACCATGGCATTTGAATTACCCTCTGGTTATGACTAACATAGCCATGGTAGCCATGGCCCATAGAAATAGATGGTTTACCTATTAATAGCATGGTGATTTTCCATGGCTATGTTAAATAACCAGATGGTATATATATATGGGGGTTTCCATAGTCATGGGGGTACCCCAATAGCTGGATGGTTTACAATGGAAAATCCTATGAAAGTGGTTGATTTGGGGGTAGCCCTATTTCAGGAAACCTCCATGTCTCTGCCCCAAAAATGGATTTGCAGCATCTGACTGCGGCTTTCTCTGCCCCATTGTGAAAATTCAACAGGGCAAGCTGCAGCTGCCAGAATTCAACGCAGGCCCAGCCTAGAAGTTGTGGATCATTGGAGGTTTCCCAATAACCTCGGCCCCAAAGGTACCTGATACAAACTGGCACCCCCCAGAGGGTCAGAAGTATGTCCGTTTCTGAAGCTACGTTTCTAAGTGCAGATATTTGTGTTTATGGGGGGTACCCCCAATTTATGGAATCCTCCATATGCATATATTTAATTTTATACATTATATACATATATATGTTTATCACAGTTCTTACCGCACTTTGCCTAGTCGGATTTACCAAGTTACCCAATGGACCCCACCACTTTGTGGGTGCTTCAGAAGTCATATGACTAGACGCGATGGTGATCACACGTGTTGCCATCAGCCTATATACAGTATGTACACTATATACAGTATATACTGTATATATATACATAGCTACATACCTACCTACCTTCCTACCTACATACATACACACATACACACATACATACATACATACATGCATACATACATACATACATACATACATACACATTTATATATATATATACAAACATACATACATACATACATAAATACATACATACATACATAGACATAGACATACATACGTACGTACGTACATACATGCATGCATACATACATACATGTTACATGCATACATACAGACAGACATATTTACATACATACAGACAGACATACACACATACATAAATACAGACATACAGACAGACAGACACACATACACACACATACACACATACAGACAGACAGACACACATACACACACATACACAGACATACACACACATACACACACATACACACACATACATACATACATACATACATAACATCCATCCATCCATCCATGCATACGTACATCCATACATCCATCCATCCATCCACCCATCCAACCATACATACATACATACATACATACATAACATACATTCATCAATCCATCCATGCAGACAGACAGACAGACAGACAGACACACATACACATACACATACACATACTCTTACACATTACATTACATTACATTACATTACATCACATACATTGCATTACACTACATACATTACATACATTACATTCAATACACTACATTACATTAGATTTTGTTTCATTACATTACATTACATACATTACATTCATTGCATACATTACATACGTTATATACATTACATACATTACATACACTACATACATTAATGCATGCATCAATGCATACATACATATATACATATATGCATACATACATACATACATCCATCCAACCATCCATCCAACAATACAAACATACATACATACCATCCATCCATCCATCCACCCATCCACCCATCCATCCATCCATCCATCTATACAAACATACATAACATACATCCATCCATGCATACATACAGACATATATATACATACATCCAAACATCCATACATACATGTATACATGTATACATTACATACATTACATACATTACATACATTACATACATTACATACATTACATACATTACATACATTACATACATTACGTACATTACATACATTACATACATTACATACATTACATACATTAAATACATTACGTACATTACATTACATTTTGTTAAATTACATTGCATCACATGCATGCATACATACAACCATACAACCATACCATACCATACCATACGATACCATACCATACCACACCATACCATACCATACCATACCAACATACATACATACATACATACGTACGTACGTACATGCATGCATGCATTCATACATACATACATACATACCTACGTACATACATAGATACATGCATACATACATACATGCATACATACATACATACTAATATAACACTACACTACATTACATTACATTATTACATTAGGACATACATACATACATACAGACAGACAGACAGACATACATACATACAGACACACACACATACGTACATACATACATACATACATACATACAGATAGACAGACATACATACATACATACAGACACACACACATACATACATACATACATACATACATTACATTCAGGATCGCAGCATGTCCCATTCTCCGTGTGTTGAACCCTATGAAGTTGACTCGCTTCACTGAGGATGGGCTCCAAGTTGTTCTGGGAAGACTTTGAAGATCAACCACAAGCCGAGCAGCTCCTTGACCTGCCATGGAGGTAACTAGTTTAACTAGGGCCTAGGACCGATTCATGGGCTGATTTTTTGGCGCAAAATTTGGATTTTACTTGAAGTTTCACAAAATGCTTGGTTTACTTGACACTTTAAAACATATTGAAACATATTAACACATGTTTCTAACTCTCTCTCTCTCTACATGTATATACATATATATATATATATATTTATTTATTTATATATATATATGTATATAATTATATACATATGCACATACGCATGCGTATAATTAAATATTTTGTGTATTTTTTTGCACAGATTTGCAGGGTATCTCTAGGACTAGCCATAAGTTGCTGAATCTTCAACATATGGGCCTAAGCAAGCCCCAAGCAATGGCCCTCCCACGGCCACTCTCGAGGTTTATCCGAGATTGCCACGGTATGACACACTGCATGACGACAGTTTAAAGGTGTTTGGTCAGTGGCTCAATAAACTAAAAATTCTCGAGCATGCATATACTGTACTATAACAGTCTACTATAACTCATTATAATCTGTTTGTACTATGGTAGTTAAATCCAGTCCATAAATGGTTCGTTTCTATGAATCAGCAGGACGACTCCCGGCTACGGGTGACCTACCAGGGCCCGAAATCGTTAGTTAAGTTGGTTTGCTTCACTAGAGGAAGCGTTGGGTGATGACATGATTACCCTCTGTTTGTTTAACATAGCCATGGTATAGATGGCCCATAGAAATAGATGGTTTACCTATTAATAGCATGGGGATTTTCCATGGCTATGTTAGTCATAACCAGATGGTAAATCCCATTAAACCACCATTAAATCCCATTAAACCACCATTAAACCTAGAGCAAGTGTTGGGTGATCAAGCAACTAGGACTACCAGGGGTCACGGCCTTTAGTCTGTTTGGTGAAAATTCATGGATGAAAAAAAACACCAAACACCAGGGTTTTAAAAACCGCTGAAAAATCCGCAGAAATTGGGATGTAACTGATACATGATGGTTGGTTGGTGTTGGTTTGATAATATGAAGAATTATTTCCGCCAAACAATTAAAAACGTAGTTACGTAGTTGTTTTTAATCACATCAATTAACCAAACATTGGGTATATGAAATTGAGTAATGATGCTCGGTGTATGGTTCATTTGTTTATGAAATAGTGAGTCAAACTCCCTGGTTGATTTGTGCATATTCGTAACCACAAATTCGGGATATCTATTGTCCCACCACGTATTGATGTGTAAATCCAGTGACCATTTTCCACATGTTTAGCCGATTAGGCGAGTTTAAGGCTGCCTACACCCCGTGTTGCGAATTTCCCCGCAAAAAGAGGTGGTACCGTGGTACCCCTTAAAATCCCTTGGTTGACAACAACATGTTCTCATATAAACATCCTGGAATATCCTGAAATCTTGTGGGTATACCGGGAGAAAAACCTTCACTTTCAGACAAACCTGTTTTTTCTCCAGCAACACTTCACTTGGAGAGGCGATACCGAGAACTTTGGTGGTCAAAGGTTTTATTTGACCCTGAAGGCCACGTTTTGAAGTGCTGTACCTTGGACTACCTTGGAATACCGGAGGGATCCCAAGATGGCCCAGATATTTTACGGGGACCTATAGGTGCACACAGTTGGTTTGTTGAGTTGGCTTAAAACTTTTGGTTTATGCAATCTAATGGAATTGAATGGAATTTCATGGAATCTAATTGGATTTGATGGAATTTAATGAAGATATATCTATACTTAAACGGGGTTATAAACCAACCTATCACTGGCTGGTACAGTAGAACTTGTCGCATCCTTGTACCTTCAAAACGGGATTTTTTTTATTACAAACATTCGGACGATCAAGTAGTGGATTTAGGGTATGCTCGCTTTCCCAGTGTATATTATACATATATTATACATATATGAATACATATGTATATATTATATATGTATGTATATTACATATTTACATGATACACGTGCGCACAAGCAGTTGATGGTTTGAAATCAGCTTACAATCAACGAGCTCGAGCTGGGTGTGCTGAACCAATGGTCGAGCGAGGTCTTCCAGCAGACTCAGCTTGACGTAAATCCAGGCTGCAGGATGACAAGATTGGTTTCTGTCTGGCTATTTAACATAGCCATGGGAAATGGCCCATTTATAGAGGTTTAACGGTTTACCTATTAAAAATGGTGATTTTCCATGGCTGTGTCAAATAACCAAATGGAATAATAAACCATCTCCAAGACTACATAAATATACAATTTTCTGTAGAAGCATTTTTTTCAGATGGTAGTTGTTGATGGTCACTGCCCCACAATGGCACAAGGTTTACCCTACAGGGTGGGGCCCCCGTTCGATAGCGTTCAGTTGCCTTATAAGTTGCTGAATTCTATGGTTTATTGGGGGTTATAGTTATAATGGTTTATAAACCAACTTAAAACTGGGGGGCCCTTCCTGTAGGGATATGAAGTATAGGCGCATCTGTTTTTTTTGGAGTCACCTCACCTCAGTCTCTGGCTCGTCTTGACGCAGCTGGTTTGGAATATGTTGGAATTCAGAGGGTTGTGTTTGGGATGGTCATAGAACAAATAAATGGCCATTGTTTTTATTTGTGGTCATAATTCTAATATCCAAATATTAGAGGTTGCAAACACC